CTGGGTGACATAGTGAGACTCTGTCTCAAACAAAAAACATGAAGCAAAAGCTGTCACAACTTAAGAAAAAATAGACAAATTCAAAACTAGTAGAAGACATAAAAATTCCTCTCTCAATAATTGGTAAGGACAAACAGAAAAATCACTAAGGATACAGAAGACCTGAATATTATAAACCAACTTGACTTGACATTTTTTGGGGGGTGTAGCTAAAGTAGTGATTAGAATTACTTCTAAAACATTTACAGCTCAACTGATTCAAAATCAATAATCTTAGTTTCTACCTTAAGAAGCTAGAAAAAGAAAAAAAATCAATGAAATGGATAAAGGAGACATGACTATGCTCCCACAGACATTAAAAGGATAAGGGAATATGATGAATAACTTTATTTCAATAAATTTGACACTTTAGATAAAATGGCCAAACTTCTTGGAAGACAAAGCATTAAAGTTGACTTCAGAAGAAATATTAAATCTGAAGAGTGCTGTATCTAAAGAAATTGAAGTTGTAATTAAAACTTTCCACAAAGAAAATTCCAGGCCCAGATGCTTCACTGGTGAATTCTATCGAGCATTTAAAGAAGCATAATATCTCATAGGCAAACTCTTAGAAAATAGATGAGGGAACACTTCCAAAATTATTTTCGTAGGCTAACATGACAGTCAGCTAGAGACATAGAAAACAAAGCAACAAAACAATATCCCTTACAAACACAGATATATACACATAAAAATCCTTAAAAAGAGATCAGCAAAGTGAATCCAACAACATAAAAAACACAAGAAAACATCTTTGTAACTTTGGATTAGTCAAAGGTTTTTTTTTTTTTTTTTTTTGAGATACAATAACAAGTAACATATGCCACAAGAGAAAAAGTCAATACAGTGAACTTAAAATTAAGAAGTTGGTTTCTGAAAGACACTTCTAAGAAAATAAAGAAACGAATTATGAATGGGGAGAAAATATTTGTGAATCACATCTGATAAAGCATTTACAACTTAGACTATATCAAAGAATCTCAAAACCCAATAACCACTCAATTAAAAAATGAGTAAAAGATTTTAACACACTTCACCAAAGGAGATATACACATGGCAAAGAAGCACATAAATAGATGTTCAGCATTATTAATCATTAGAAATAGACAATTTAAAACCACAATGAGGATGACTAAATTAAGACTGTGCTCAGTACTGGCAAGAATGTGGAATAACTGGAACTCTCATACACTGCTATACCATAATGTAAAATGGTAAACCACTGTGAAAAAGGGTTTGGCAGTTTCTAAAAATTTTAAACATACACTTACCATATGACCTAGTCATCTGCTTCTAGGTATTTACCTCAGAGAAATACAAGCAAAAAGCATACATTCATCCTAAGATGTTTATAAATTCATCCCAAGACGTTTCTATGTTTATAGAAACTTTGTTAATAATAACCAAAAATGGGAAACAATTAGCGAAGGAGTATTGTTACAATACAATATAACACTACTTAGCAAATTTTCAAAAGAAATGAAATAATTGATAGGTGACTCTCAAAAAAAATTGTGCTTAGAGGCTGGGCGTGGTGGCTCATGCCTGTAATCCCAGCACTTTGGAAGGCTGAGGTGGGCAGATCATGAGGTCAAGAGATTGAAACCGTCTTGGCCAACATAGTGAAACCTCATCTCTACTAAAAAAAAAAAAACACAAAAATTAGCTGGGCGTGGTGGCGTGTGCTCGTAGTCCCAGCCACTCGGGAGGCTGAGGCAGGAGAATTGCTTGAACCCAGAAGGCAGAGGTTGCAGTGAGCCGAGACTGTGCCACTGCACTCCAGCCTGGTGACAGAGACTCCATCTCAAAAAAAAAAAAAAAAAAAAAAAAAAAAATTGTGCTTAACGAAAAGAGACAGGCAAGAAAGCACCTAATATATGATTCCATTTTTATACAACCCCCAAAAATGCAAATTAATCAATGTTGAAAGAAAGCAGATCTGTGGTTTCCTGGAGACTAGGGCAGGAGGGAGGTGGGATGGAATCTGATAAGAAAGGAAGGAGGGATTAACCAAGGGGCATGAGCATATTACCTTCATTATTTATGGTTTCACTGGTGTGTGTGTGTGTGTATGTCAAAATTTATTAACTTGTACACTTTTTTTTTGAGACAGGGTTCACTCTGTTGCCCAGGCTGGAGTGTACTAACTTAAGCAATCCTCCTGCCTCAGCCTCCCAAGTAGCTGGGAGTACAGGTGCTCATTACCATACCTGGCTAATTTTTAATTTATTTTTTATAGAGACGAGGTCTGACTATGTGTTGCCCAGGCTGGTATTTAACTCTTGAGCTCAAGCAATCCACCTGCCACAGCCTCCCAAAGGGCAAGGGCTGAGACTACAGGCGTGAGCCACCATGCCTGGCCAAGTTGTACACTTTCAGTATGTCCATTATAATGCCAATTATAACTCAATAAATCTATTTTAATAAAAAACTCAATAAATAAAATGGTTACAAAAGAAGGTAAGCATTCATTAAAATCTTTTTTCAGTATTAGCTAGAACAAAAGATTAATAATCTTTTCAGTATTATTAGCTACAATAGAAAGACAAATTAAATCAACAATGATATATCACTACACACCCCCACAAATGGCTCTAATTTAAAAAATACTGACAATAGCAAGTGCTGGCAAGGATATAGAAAAATCAAACTCTTATACATTGTTGGTGAAAATATAAAATGCTTAAATTAAAAAAAAATTTAAAAAATAAACAGGGATGAGGTACTGCTATGTTGCCCAGACTGGTCTCCATTTGCAAAATCCCATGCCACTCTGGGAAACAGCTTGGCAGCTTCTTTTAAATGTAAGCATACACTTTCATAAAATCCAGAAATCACACTTCTATATTACCCAAGAGAAATGAAAACAGTATGAACATAGAAAAGCCTGTATGGAAATGTTTTCAGTGGCTTTACTAAGAATCAGCAAAAACCGGAAACATTCCAAATATCTTTAAACCTAATGAATAAACAAACTGGCTCATTCACATAATGGACTACTACTCAGCAATAAAAAGCAACAAAGTATACATACAATCACATGGATGAATCTCAAAGCCAAACACAAAAGGCTGCATATTCCATGATTTATCAGAGGTTCATAATAAAACAAACTATAGGGATAAAAATCAGACGAACAGTTGATAACACTTGCTAGTGGGTAGGGGGAGTAAACTGACATGAAGGGGCGTAGAGAACTCCTGAGGATGAAGAAAATGTATATGCTGATGTGATGATTACACAACTGCAAAATTAACAGAAAAATGTCTTAAAAAGAGTGAATTTTGCTGCATGGAAATTATGCCTCAAAAACCAGACTTAGATTAATTATAAATGAATGAAAATACACATTTTAGGCCTGGCACAGGGAGGCAGAGGCAGAAGGATCACTTGAGTTCAGCAGTTTGAGGCTACAGTGAGCTATGTTAATTGCCACTGCACTCCAGCCTGGGCAACTGCGCCCTGCCCCTTGTTGTATTTAAAACACAGCCGTTTTTTTAAGAGACAGGGTCTCTTAAAAAGAAAAGGTATACATTTTAAAAGACATGCGTGAAACATGCAGATAAAGCATGTTTGGTTTGGTAACAATGTACTTTAAACGCCACAAGGGGCAGGGCACAGTGGCTCTCACTTGTAATCCAGCACTTTGGGAGGCTAAGGCAGGAGGATCACTTGAGGCCAGGAGTTTAAGACCAGCCTGGGCAACATAGTGAGACCCTGTCTCCACAAAAAATTAAAAGGGTGCTGTGGCTCGAGCCTGTAACGCCAGCTACACTGGAAGGCTGAGGCAGGAGTACTGCTTCAGTCCTGGAGTTGGAATTGCAATGAGCTATAATTGTGCCACTTCACTACAGCCTGGGTGACAGAGGAAGACCCTGTCTTATACATACACACATAAATCCAACAAGGAAGAAAACAAATGTAACCTCTTTCTCTTCTCCAGAGCAAAGAATGCCAAATGCTGACAGTCAGGATACAGAACACTGGGCTTCATATGCCTGCTGTCATCTTTTCTCTGAGTTGTGCAAAGGATTCTGTCCATCCTGTTGCTCAACTAATTTTCTAATGGAAGCAGCATTTATCATTCTGTGCCCTTGGCTAACAACATGATAAACAATTTGGTGCTTCTGAAGGTGATATTCCTCCTTTTGAATCACTTTTTTCGCCAGATGTCAAAAGTGGGTATATAGGGAATAAAAAAGATAGGTTCAAATTGCTGGAGGCACTAGCTCTTGAATAGGCTGGAGAACTAAGGGGCTGACCACAGGGGTTCATGCAGATTCCCAGGGCACTTTTTCTGAGGTGGAGTTTCACTCTTGTTGCCCAGGCTGGAGTGCAATGGCATGATCTGGCTCACTGCAATCTCTGCCTCCCGCGTTCAAATGATTCTCTTGCCTCAGACTCCCGAGTAGCTGGGATTATAGGTGCCTGCCACCACACTTGGCTAATTTTAGTAGAGACGGGGTTTCACCAGGTTGGTTAGGCTGGTCTTGAACTCCTGACCTCAGGTGATCCACCCACCTCGACTTCCCCAAAGTGCTGGGATAATAGGTGTTAGCGACCGCACCCGGCCCCCAGGGCACTTCTTGAAGGCACAGGTGTACAGGTCCTCAGATTTTGGACAGGTTCCAATTTGAACAATTATATTCTCACTCCCTTAGTACTCCGTGCTGTTTCTAGTGGACACAGAATTCTTATTCACTTCCTGCACTAAACTGTCGTGTAGAGTTGCTGTGCAGCTGTTAAACAGCTGCCACATTTCTGTCCATATACAGTCTCTAAAGCATTTTTGGATGAAAGGTTATATAAACAGATTTTATTTTATGTATTTGTTGCCTTACCACTTACTTGTAGGTTTTGTGATGTAACTATTAAATCCAAATCCATATTCCACAGCACATCAATGTTTAATTTCTTCCCCCACCTGCTCTCCAATGCTCTCTAAACAGCAAGGCTCTTACCACGAGGGTCCGTAGACAGAGTGTCCCTGCAGGAGCACGGGGGTCCAAAGCAGCCACAAGATCCCACACTTTAATTTTTCTAAAGATCAAAAACGGAACAAAAATGTTAGTTAAAAGCAAAAGTAAGGGAACACAGGAAGAAGAGCAAAAATTAATGGTAATAACTATGGATAGTGAATATAGTTTAAATGTATGTGATTAACCTAAAATTGAGAAACAGGCTAGCTTTAACCAAACTGAAGATAGTTAATGGTGCAGATATACCATACTTTGGGATCAAGAGGAGATCTTGTACATTAGACCTCTTAATGATAAGACATTACACAGACCTAGAAATCTACAACTCTGAGGCATCCTCTTCCTGGTCACTTCTAAGAGTAGCTCAGGTAACATATACTGAGGGACTGGGGTCCATATAAGAGTACTGGAGTTTGGCCGGGTGTGGTGGCTCATGCCTATAATCCCAGCACTTTGAGAGGCCGAGGCGGGTGGATCACCAGGTCAAGGGATCGAAACCATCCTGGTCAACAAGGTGAAACCCTGTCTCTACTAAAAATACAAGAATTAGCTGGGCTTGGTGGTGCGCGCCTGTAGCCCCAGCTACTTGGGAGGCTGAGGCAGGAGAATTTCTTGAACCCAGAAGGCGGAGGTTGCGGTGAGCCGAGATCGCACCATTGCACTCCAGTCTGGGTAACAGCAAAACTCCATTTCAAAAAAAAAAAAAAGAGTACTGGAGTTTATACAGGCAAGCCCTCATGTTTTGATTTAAATAAGGTAAGTGTAGCTCTTTGAAAAATCTTTTATAGCCATGTTTCCTCAAGGTACATAACAGACAAATTCCAAGAAAAGTGGATACAAATCAAAGCCAGGGCAATGAGAAAATATCGTCTTGACTGAGCTGGAACATGTCACCAAACTCTGAACAGTTTCCCAAGGTTATAACAGTGATGGCTGACTCGAAGCAGGAGTGAGCAGTCTACACTTCCTGCTGTTTGCATTGGCTAGTGAATGTATCAGTATAGTAAGCTCATGAAATAAAATAATGTGTTAGCTTCTGATATGTAAAAACCTGCCAATATTTGAACTGTAGTCTTCTACCCTTCACCCTCAAAATCAAACACTTTGACAAAAAGAAATGATAGAAGAGTCCTTCATAAGTGAATACACTTATGAAGGAGTCTCCCTCTGTTGCCCAGGCTAGAGTGCAGTGGCGTGATACTGGCTCACTGCAACCTCTGCCTCCCTGAATCAAGCAATTCTCCTGCCTCAGCCTCCCGAGTAGCTGGGATTACAGGCACCTGCAACCACGCCTGGCTAATTTTTGTACTTTTAGTAGAGACTGGGTTTTGCCGTATTGGCCAGGCTGGTCTCAAACTCCTGATCTCAAGTGATCCGCCCATCCTGGCTTCCCAAAGTGCTGGGATTACAGGCATGAGCCACCGTGCCCAGCTTACTTTTGTTTGAATTTACTGTGTTTAGGATTGGTGGACATGGGGTCCATTCACAACATGAATGGATTCCATAACCGCTAGAAATTAGAAGAAAATAAAGATGACTAAACTCATTATAAATGAAATGCTAGGATGACAAGTGATGACAAGAGAACTATATTTTTAAAAATTACTCAAAGAGATCAAAAATCAAAGAAATCAAAATTCAAGATCCTACCACACCAAGTCCCCAAATTCTGCCCTCTAGTGTTTTCTGTTTTGTTAACAGGTTACCAATTTACATGTGTATCCTGTTAACACTGGGTTTCTCTTGTTCTTTGCTTTACAGGGCAAAACAGCCAAAAACATAACCAAATAACAAAATATTAATGACAACTTTGTGCAAACAAGTATAATAAAATGACTGGAAAGAGTATTTCAGGATACTAAAGCAAGGAGAGGTGAATATACAGATTAAAAAAATATGCTATTAGATACTTTGTGTAAAATCTATAAGCTTTTAGAAACAAGGAATGGTTATGTTTAACACCATAAACATAAGGAAGGATTAAGAGGTAGATTTTCTTTTTTTTTTAACACTGTTTTTTATACTCACCCATCATAGGCCCCACTGACTATCCTCTTGTTATCAAATCGAATACAACGCACTAATTCCTCATGGCCTTCTAACACTCGTAAACATGCACCACATTCTATGTCCCATAATCTGGAAGAGAAAAGTGAGTCAAGTGATTTTTCACATATTCTAAGTCTGGAGTGTTATAATAATACACTTCATATGCCTTCTAAAAACTCACAAAATAAAATCAATCACCACCCACATAGAAAGTACCATTTTCAATGTAATTTATTTCCTTTCTGCTATATAACTCATGCAGAAAAATGTAGGTTTAAGTTCAAATGTAGTATGTATTTTCAAAGTATAATGCTTTATATAATTCTGTAACCAGGTTCTTCCAGGCATAAAAATGATGAATTCAAGGCACACAGTTGCCTGAGAAGAAAATGACCAAACTAAGAAAGTAGTTTCCTGAAGTCACCATACAGATTATCAGTGATGTCCTGTTCTCACAAAGCACCTCTCCCTCTGCCACAGTGGACACTTCTTTCACCACTGTCCAGGACAGTTTTTCTCAGAGAATGGAAATGCAAAGCCAGTTCTCAAAAACTTTTGTGTACTAATTTTAAAAACTGTATATTCTGAAATTATTTTTCAGAACTTTTTAAAGTGATTTCTAGGAATAATTTCCTTAGATATAACAGTAGCTCTATCTGTTTTTTTTTTTTAGTGGCCTTTTCATCCTTTTAGTACTTCACTGAAGAGAGAGGATGGATAGATCTTTCAAATTCTATTAATATCCACGTCATTCATCTTTGTGAAGAGAAAATTAAAAAATGACTTCCAACTGTGAAATCTTCATAATTTCAAGGACAGGTAACTCTATGGCCAATTATGTAATGCTAAGACCAAAATTACATAATTTCTAGTAAGAAAACATATCTTTCTTTTCACTTCTTAAGTGGCAAACAATGACAAAGAGAAAACTTAATAGCATTTTGCAACTGTAGACAGGAGAAATTTAAAAAGAAGGGCAACGACAGGGCATGATGGTTCACACCAGCACTTCAGGAGGCTGAGGCCAGTAGATCACGAGGTCAGGAGTTCGAGACCAGCCTAACCAACATGGTGAAATCCCATCTCTACTAAAAATACAAAAATTAGCCGGGCGTGGTGGCACATGCCTGTAATCCCAGCTACTCAGGAGGCTGAAACAGTAAAATCACTTGAACCTGGGAGGCCAAGGTTGCAATGTGCCAAGTACACATTGCACCAAGTCACACCACTGTACTCCAGCCTGAGCAACAGTGCAAGACTCCAATTTCAAAAAAAAAAAAAAAAAGATGGGCAACAAAAGGCTTTGTTGCTGCCTCTCTGCTTCTGACCTGTAAGAAGCTACAAAAAGGAAAAACAGTTGATTATAAACATAACAAAACTGAAGACTTGATTGATCTGTGCACTAATAATGAATGGGAGCATAATATTGATCATTTACGATAAAAGGCACTTGCTGCTCACCTAATAGTATTGTCAGATGAGCCACTCACTACCAGCCTGTCCCTGTATTGCAAACAGGCAATGCCTCGTTTGTGTCCATTTAAGGTCCTCACAAATTCACAAGTACTTGTGTTCCATACCTGAAAAAGAAAACGGCATTGAGCAATTGATTTGGTGCTTTTACTGGTAAAATCTATGGCAACTGGAGTCTTAGGGAAGCAGGAAATGAGACTGAACCATTAAAGGGAAGTCAAATTCTCAAACAGAGCAAAAGACAATTTAAATTCATGGTAATAGAGGCTAATTTGCTGTTGGCTGTTATCAAGAAAATTCCTCAAACTGATTTTCTCTTCTAGGGTTAGTCTGATCTTGCAGATACATTTTTCTTGACCCTACATTTGCCCCTGCCCTTCTCACACTCACCATTATTTATAAGAATAAAATACCTAGCTCATATTGTCACACATCTCATTTATTACCTTTTCACTTGTAGACTAGTCTCTGAAATAAATACTACATATTTCTTCAGTGATGTTTAAATATGACATTGCCCTTGATCACATTTTCATATGAATTCCCCTATTCTAAGTTGGAGACTTACTGAAAGATACCTGATTACCTTTATAGTTCTATCCCCAGATGCAGAAACGATGTACTTGTCATCAAAGTCTACAACATTGACAGCAGCTCGGTGTCCAACCAGCACCCTCCGGAGGGTAATGTCAGTTGGGGAGGCCATATCCCATACAGCAATGGAACGATCTTTGGAGCACGTCACCATCATGCCATTATTGAAACGCAAGTGCAGAACTGCTTCACAATGGTGAATCAATGTGTTTAGCATTTCACCTGTATTTACATCCCACACTCTGGAAGTGACACATGAGACTTAGAAGGTACTCAAGCTACAATCTGTTATCTATATTTGACCATCATATGCCCTGCCACTCCTCATATTTTCATGGTAAGTGTTATAATTCTACTCTTTAATTCCTTTGCAGCACTAAGCTGCGGTAAATACTGATGGATTGTGGGAAAGTGGTAGAGAGAAGCCCAGACTGGGAGAGTGGGAGAAGGAAGGGGATGGGATGTTGCCAGTGTGTCCTTTAGACACACTGCTTGAAATATGGGCAAGTTGTGGAGGGCAAGGATGAGGTGGCAGCCACTGTCACCTAATAATTTGGCCCAGACTTGAAGATTATTATAAAACTTCTGACATTCAATTTGATACCATTAATAAGATACATTTTAAATGGGGAATCTGATTAATAACAGTAGCATTAGTGCCCATCCCAATAAAACCCTCAGGAGCCAGAAATGACATAGGTCAAGATGCTTCTGTCACATACTTAGCAATGCAAATTTGAGTTTGATTTCCCTGGATCTCAGGTCTTATCATAGAGGTCAAAGGCCAAGATAACCACAACTCTTAATTATAAGCCCCCCATTTCTGTGCTTTGAAGTGGGTACAGGTTTAAAATAGCCCTCTCATTGTAAATACAGGCTTCACAGAAGAGTGTGGGGCCACTGGATAGCTTGGGAATTTTGTGTGATGACATATTTGATTATTCTATTTTTGTGTATTTACTTTGGGTTTTATAACATGTTATTTCCTTTTTCCAGTTTAGCCCCCTTTTATGGAATATCATTTTTTCTTTATCTTATAAATGATGTTAGCATCTACAGTATTTCAGATTCAGTGAGGCACTTGCTCCACAAGCACCAATAAATGTTAAATGTCAATAATTACACGGACCGAGTTTGCTATGCCTTTAAGTCAAAAGACAAAAACCACAAACAGTCTTTTCTATTCACAGAGGATAACTTGGAATGGTAAACATTTAACTTCAGAGTATCGAACAATGCAGTTAACTGCTTTTTTTCCTAGGTTTATTTTTTTTTAAAGTTACTTTTGATGCATTATGTTTGCTAAATACTTCAGCTTAAGGCAAAATTCCTAACAGAAGTTCCCAGCAGTGCTGCTGGTACCCAGAACTCAAGCTATCCTGGACTCCAGCAGTATAATGGCTGTGTCATCAAATCACTAACGCCTCTGGAAATTGAGGGCCCCTCCCTGAGTGAAGCTCGCAATTAAAAACTGCAGGGACGGCAGGGGAGGAGCTGACAAAGAGCACAGCTCACCTGTACATGTTTCAAAGGAGATAATACAGACCTGCACTACAGTTACAACCACCTAAAAGGACGGCTTCATTACATTCATGTCATTCCCCTGTGAGGTGGTTTTTATAATGCAAGCCTTACCATAAGGATAAGAAAAGTTTCTGTGATAGATGATTCTCCAAATTAAAATAGAATGTGTAGTTTCTTAAACGTGCGAAAATGTTAACTTACCTCAAGCATTCCTAAATCAAGTTTTCTAGTTCTAGACTGACACAAATGATGGGGACTCGGTGGTATATTCTTCTTTAGTTTCAGAACTGTGCCGATATATACAAAATTACTATCTATGACAAAGAACAGAGCAGAGCTGATGTTTCAAAGTTCAAAAGAGCATTTGAAATTTTCTACCTGACTGTGGAATCCGATGATCCGGTTATGATCACTCTTTCATCATACTGGAGACACAGGACAGAACCTGTATGGCCTGTGAGAATTCGCTTGCATTCCAATGTGTTTTTATCCCAGATCTAGGATGGCAAATAAGATCCTTTTGATCAATGTCATGATGGGGTGCTGTGGAGACTTGTTGGTCCTATTATGTATTTGATCTCCCAAAATAATCAAAGCCCATAGTAGTGTGGAATGCATTCTTTCCTATAAGTATAGCTAAGCGCGCGCGCATGCGCGCACACACACACATACATACATACATATACGGCTTCAGTACTAATACAAACCTTTATCCTTTTAATTAGAGAACAGAGTAGCCTATAATTATGTGAGGGCCAAAAGAGTAATAGCCCATTCAGTTCATTTCAAGAAGAGAATTTAACCCTAGAGACTTCCTATTTGTATAGTATTCTAGGGGGAAGCAGATGTCTGTCCTTTAAGGAAATGATTTTGGCTTTGGGACTGGAAACAATCTAAAATCTTCACTTACTTTCTAGAAATAATGCTTAGAGTTTATGCTGTGGACTGTGTTATGAATGTGGTCACCCTTGCTCCCTCAGCTACCTTCCTACAACTGAACAGACCTCACCTTGATTGTGTTGTCTCGAAGGCCGCTTACTATTTTCTGATCATCATACTGTAAACAGTAAACTCCTTTGCTTGTTTCACTTCGGCAGTGGATTCTCTGTAAACTATGTCTTCCACATCTCCAATTAGATTCTATTGTCTGAGAAGACAGAAAGGTAAAGAGGCAGTAATTAGGAAACGCCTAAAACCAAACCCTTTTTGGGCTTTAATGGCAATCAATGACTTAATGCTTTACTCTGTGGGAGATACATCGCTTAGGGAAAACTAAAAAATATCTATTAAAAAAGCTACTATCTAAATTTATAAAGTATTTTTCCTTTTGCAAGGTAATTAAAGATTTTTTCTAGAACCCCCTCCTGCATATCATTTGTTCAATTAAATAATAAATCTGGTGGGAAGAGATGACTCATCAAGAGAAGAAAAGCTATGAACTATGTGAGGTTATATGTTCAGTGCTCTTACATATGCGATGGCCATCACTACCGATGAACTTCTATGGCGGCTGAATTCAGAAGATATTTAAATATGAGCTTATGGGTACTAGTTTCCCAGTCACACTGCTATTATATGAAGGGATCAATCTCTTTAATTCTCTTTCATCTATTAGTAAACAATTTTTTAAAGCTTTAAAATTTTGCCTAGCAATTTATTTTACCTACCCTACTTAACTATAAAGAAATTGATTTTCTTTTTCTTTCTGTTTTTTTCTGAGACAAAGTCTCACTCTGTCATTCAAGCTGAAGTGCAGTGGCAGGATCTTGGCTCACTGCAACATCTGCCTCCCAGGTTCAATCAATTCTCCTACCTCAGCCTTCTGAGTAGCTGGGGTTACAGATGTGTGCCACCATGCCTGGCTAGTTTTTGTATTTTTAGTAGAGATGGCGTCTCATCATGTTAGCCTGGCTGGTCTCGAACTCCTGACTTTAGGTGATCCACCTGCCTTGACCTCCCAAAGTGCCGGGATTACAGGCGTGAGCCACCACGCCAGCCAAGAGATTGATTTTCAACTCACGTCAATAAACCTTAATGGGCTTGGTGTAACCATACTGCAACTGAAGAAAGATGTACCATTTGGAAAATACCCCAAAATACACAGATTCTTACCTCAATGTCTTGTATAATTTTAGGATAAAGTGCTCTATAAAAAGAGTTGGGAGGAGTATTCCCATCAGGAGGTTTGTTTTTGAATAAATACTGTCCCCTAAAAAAAAAAAAAAAAAATATTTCCCAATGAAAATCATGACATTAAATATTTACTTATTTATTTATTTTTTGAGACAGAGTCTTGCTCTGTTGCCCAGGCTGCAGTGCAGCAGTGTGATGTTGACTCACTGCAACCTCCACCTCCTGGGTTCAAGCAATTCTCCTGCCTCAGCCTCCTGGTAGCTGCAATTACAGGCGTTTACTACCAAGCCCGGCTAATTTTTGTATTTCAGTAGAGATGGGGTTTCACCACGTTGGTCAGGCTGGTCTTAAACTCCAGGCCTCAAATGATCCGCCCGCTTGGCCTCCCAAAGTGCTGGGATTACAGGCATGAGCTACCATGCCCAGCCAACATATATGTAAGGAGCTTCATACATTTTCAAAGTGTTTTCACAGTTACCATCCTATATACTCTCCAAAGCTGCCTGGGGAGGTCCAAAAGTAATCTTGATTTCAGCCTTCTGGTATCTAAGGAATCTGCCTAACATTGATTTGCTTTTGGGTAAAACATTATTTCCAGTGTAGAACATTGGAGTACCAAACCTTTAGGAATATTATGAGTAGACAAATGGAATATGTATAATCAGAATTCATCTACTGGTCTATTAAGACTACTGCATAGATTCACTGGCCTCATCTTTTGGAAATTTTGTTGGTAATGGTAACTATTACCTTTGAACTAGCACATACCCCATAGTCTTTTTTTTTAACTATGTCAGTGGACCCCTGCATTGCAGACAACAGTAATGCCTGTAATGGAGATCACTTCTTCTAGGTCTTTATTTGTGTGGGGTAAGATGTGGTGGCTGCTCAGTCACCCAGGCTGCTGCTGATCAGTGCAACTATTCTTTGAAATGAGCAATTCAGTTCATTTCAACAGAAAGCAAAAGGATCACAGGTGTGTCCAGTGGCAGCTAGGGAAGAAGATAAATAGAAATGCCTAAGAGCACTGTGCTATCAAGTCTAAGGCATGAAACTGACTTTCACAGGTGTGTTCCTGGCTGTGTACATACATACATGTACTTAACTGCCTTCCCTGATTCCAGTGAGCAGCATTTGTTAGTATCTCCTTCCTTATGACAGCACATCTCTGGAATACTCATATCCCAAGCTAGATCTTTGCTACAAAAAAAATCAGTAAATGGCAATCACTTCCTGCTGGGTAAAAAATTTAATTCCTCATCCTGAAGTTAAGAACCCACCAAACACGGTGTGGAAGCTAGTAAACCCCACTATGGGTGTACTAACTGCTGTTCTCACTGGCACCGTGCCTTGCAAAGTGGAGATAGACAGAAATGCCTCTGAGTGTAATCCTGGCACCAGAGAAATCACGTTTTCTCAGGGCCAGTCATCCACTCCTCCCTCTATAGCTCCATTACGATGTAATTAATTGTTTGGTGTCTCCAGGAGTGCTTCTCCCCTGCCCTCTCCCTATTATACACCTTGAAAATTAGTTGAGAAAATTTCCTATCAGGAAGGTAGCTGGCTCTAAGTTCTATGTTAATACAGAAAAGAAAATCTGAAATAGAGCAGAGAAAATACTACTTATAAAAAGGGGGATTAATGAATGAAACATGATACACCAGCATAAACCAAAGGTCAAACAAGATGCATTATAAAATAATTTTGGATTAATGGCACATTACTCTGTACAGAATTATTCTATAAACACTTTGCAGGCAAATAATAATTTTGAACGTGAAGATTTTAAGTTTGACTCCCGAGTCCACATTCTTAACTACTTTAATGTTTCTTAATGCCCACCATTCCTCAGATTCCTGTCTTCTTTTAATCTCTAGCACTCCAAGATTTTCTTCCTATCCAACGATACTATCTCTACATTCTAAGGAAAGAGAACCCATGTAAGCTTCTGATTTTGTTTTCCACCTCACTGCATTTATCATGTATTGGTAAGGTATCTGAATTTCTTCAAATCAAAGTGCTACAGAAAGGGGTGGCTAGGTATTGAAAACTGGCTTCTGTCTTTATGTTTTAAGTCAAAACCTTTTATGATGGAAGATCTTTGACAACAGGGACTACTACTATTTGAAATGCCTTGTACCTATGAGAATGTGAGTACATGATAAATGTTAAATATTAAATTCAGAATGTTATCATAAAATGTGATCTGCTGATTTAAAAAATGGACTTTTCCCAAGTGGTCTTTTATTGTACTTTTAAGAGTTACATTACTGAGCAGAGATCATATTCAGTGTTACTGAAGAGAGAAAACTACAGAGTTCATGTCCCAGGAGAAGACTGTCAAATCCATCTAGACATAAAATACAACATCAAAGACCAAATGAAAATTTAGAGATACAAAGCTTTATTAGAAAGTTGTATTTATCTACTATTTTGGGTTAGTAGAAATGGAAGAACCTTTCTTTTCTTTTATTTATTTTTTTTAGAGACAGGGGTCTCACTATGTTGCCCAGGCTGGAGCAGTGGCTATTCATAGGTGCCATCCCACTACTGATCAGCATGGGAGTTTTGACCTGCTCCGTTTCTGACCTGGGCCGGTTCACCTCTCCTTAGGCGACCTGGTGGCCCCCTTGCTCCTGGGAGGTCACCATATTGATGCTGAACTTATTACGGACACCCAATGGACATAGCACACCATAGCCCAGAACTCCTAGGCTCAAGAGAAGAGTTGGGACTCCTCATACTTGTAGTCCCATCTCAGCCTCCCGAGTAGCTGGGACTACAGGCATGTGCCACTGAGCCTGATGGAAGAACCTTTCAAAGCTAGCATATGGGGAAAGAGATAACATGGAAAGATTTTATTGACATATCAGGCTTGGTAAAAGCACTTGAAAGAAGAAAATGAGAAACTGATGGAGTAAATTTTTTTTTTTTTTTTGAGACGGAGTCTTGCTTTGTCACAAGGCTGGAATGCAGTGGCAAGATCTTGGCTCACTGCAACCTCCAACTCCGGGTTCAAATGATTCTCCTGCTTCAGCCTCCCAAGTAGCTGGGATTACAGGCACAGGCCACCATGCCCAGCTGATGTTTGTATTTTTAGTAGAGACAGGGTTTCACCATGTTGGCCAGGATGGTTTTGATCTCCTGACCTCATGATCTGCCCACCTCAACCTCCCAAAAAGTGCTGGGATTACAAGTGTGAGCCACTGTGTCCAGCCGGAGTCAAATTTTTTTTTTTTAAAGGGAGGACAACTGACACAGGAATAAAGGCAACATGTAAAAACAGAAGCAGAAAGAAAGTCGAAGGAATACTGGAAGAGGTCAACATGGGGTTGATTATTTGCAATTTCATAGGTAATATCATGGGATTAAGAGGATACATGTGCCCAAAGACAAGGGGATATAGTCAGAACTGAAAAATACTCAAAGAGCAGGAATGGGTTTCTGTGGATGAAGAGATGGGGGAAAATGTGTTAATTAGTGCTGGATCCTATATTCTTCACCTACCCTTTAAAATGGCTCAAAAGTCATCTTCTCAATGATCATTTTTAATTTGTAACTAACATAGCAGATCTTACCATTTAGTGCCAATTCCAATCAACACTGTGGAGCCTACTCTTTCTTACCTTTGGCATTTTCACATTGATCTGTCAAGAAATGCCCACTTACTTCTTGATCTCTCTGCCTTCAAAAAAGGAGGTAGTAAACTCCCAATGTCTGATGAAGGCTTACTGTCATTTACAGTCCAAATGAAAACACAATATATTTTAACAGGGAACAGAACCTTGATAGCTAAAGGAATGAATCTCCTTAATTGAAATTTCAGGAGTTATTTGGAAAAGATTCTTTCTTTTTTTTTCCCTGAGGACAGAGAAATCTTCTTAGCTGCCCTAAAATTTTCCCATGTAGTACCTATTGTATTCCCAAGGCTGGTTCCAGCACTCTTAGCAAAATGATGGACCCTGAATGCCATATAACTCTATTTTTATTAGCTTTGTTGTACTATTATTGGAGAGTTTATTTTTAACATATGAAGTAGGTTATGAAAGGTAAGATTTCTATTTTTTCTATGTAGTGAGAATTTAAAAAGTCGTAATAATATTCTTGTGTGTGTGTGAGAGAGAGAGAGAGACAGACAGACAGACAGACAGACAGACAGAGACAGACAGACAGAGAGAGGGTCTTGCTCTATTGTCCAGGCTGGAGTACAGTGGCATGATGATAGCTCACTGTAGCCTCAACTTCCCAGGCTCAAGCCATCCTCCCACCTCAGCCTCCTGAGTAGCTGGGATTATAGGCACGCACCATCAGGCCCAGCTAATTTTTTTATTTTTCTTTTTTTTGTAGAGATGAGGTCTCACTACGTTGCCCAGGCTGGTCTCAAACTCCTGGGCTCAAGTGATCCTCTTGTCTTGGCCTCCAAAAGTGCTGGGATTACAGGAGTGAGCCACCCCACCTGGCCAACAATATTCTTTTACTATGTAATCGTTACATAGCCTAAAAATAGTCTAGTTTTTTGTTCCCTTAAATCAATTTGAGAGAAAAATTTAAACAGTCTTCCTAATAGCCAAAATAATAAAAATCTCTGAAGCATTTGGTATAATATTTATAGGTCATTGTATTTATTATATGTTAATAAGTTTCAAAGACAGGAAAAAAAAGAGCCAACTATATTTTCATGAAAATTCTAAGGAAAGCTGATCCATGAAAATTAATCTTTGAAAAGTGTTCTCTATACTTGTTTTCCTCTTTATGAGGCAAGATAAACAACTGATAAAATTAATGTGGAAGGACAGTATGAAGCACACACATGCCTATTATCATTTTTTCTGTCAACTAAAATATTTAATATGTCACCTTTATGAATGATTACTCTGAGAGAAAATTATTTAAAGAAAGACATCTTCCAGAAGTTCTAATGAAATGGTGCTATTAAGAGAATAACAAAAAATTAGTGAAGTCTCTTAGGCTGCTAACTGTATGATGCTTCAGGGAATTCTAAATTAAACCAGAAAATCTTGAAAAACAGAAGTCTTAAGAAGAAACAATGATTTATACTGCATTTCATTTTCACTTTTTCTGATAGCTAAAGTTCTTATTCCACTTGGGCATAAAAATAATTTTTGATTACAAAGGTGACAAAACACCAAAGGGATAAGATAAAGGCAAGAAATTTTCTGAAAGAAAAGAAAATCATTTGTCGTAGATTATATTTTAGGGGAAAGCTAGACTGGATGGTTTCTATGTGATTCAAAGTCATCTACTTGCCTCATAAATTGCCCATCAGCCCTTCTGCAGGATACCAACTTCTTCTTTCTTTTTTTTTTTTTTTGAGATGAAGACATGCTCTGTAGCCCAGGCTGGAGTGTAATGGCTCAATCTCTGCTCATTGCAACATCCACTTCCTGGGTTCATGCGATTCTCCTGACTCAGCCTCTAGAGTAGATGGGATTACAGGTGTGTGCTACCACACCCGGCTAACTTTTGTATTTTTAGTTTTGCCATGCTGGCCAGGCTGCTCTCAAACTCCTGACCTCAAGTGATCTGCCCACCTGGGCCTCCCAAAGTGCTGGGATTACAGGCATGAACCACTGTGCCCAGCCACAGGATACCAACTTCTGTACAGAGAACAGAATGCTTTAAACAGGAGGGCTGGTCAGCTTTCCATTATTTTTTGCAAAGCAGTATTAATATAATATCATGTCATTTTTTGATAGGTAAGAAGAAAAACTGCTAAGTACATGAACAATTGTTCTTTGTTACATTTTAAGCTACAAATCAGCAAAATCACCGTATTAAATGAGAAATGGTCTCACTGGCTCCCCAAAAATCTTTCAGTGACTGTGAATGGCCAGGTCCTGAGACTCTGTAATAGTAAGAAAGTTAAAGGCTCACCACCCTCTTCGTTCTGCCAGGCCTCTCCACAAAGAATCTGTCCTGACCATTCTCTCGATGAGCTTCTTCCATAACATGCCATCAGAGGTCACTCGGTACCATTCCTTGCACACAAGTTCAGCAGCACATAGTGATTTGGCATCCAGGTATGACAGAATGTTCTCAGCAATATGATCCAAACCCCGAGCTTTCAGTAGGGGGAGGAGGCAAAGAAAAAGAACACAGAGGGTGGTGAATGATTTTTTACAAAAGATCCTTTAAAACAGAACAGCATTTGTTCTGCTATGAAGGCACATCATTGTCCCTAGCGTGGTCCAGTTTCTTTTTCAAACAGAGGCTTGGGTAAAATGAGTGTCAATTTTTCCATAAGGTTACAGAAATGAACGGTATTTTCCATCTTCCTTTAGATAAGGAAGTTAAAGCTAACAACCAGCAAACCCCCCCAAGACATTAAAAATAAAAAGGATTCCAGAAAACAATTCACATCTATCTATATGGATTTCAGCACTAGGGGATGTTCTATGGATGGCATCTCAAACTCTATGATTCAGACCCCCCCAAATCTCTATATTAGGTCCATTTCTCATTCTGTTTCTATTACTGCTGCCGTTCCAAAGCTGTTCGGTAGAAGAAATATCCTTTAAATGTACTGGGGGAGAGACACTAAGTCAGAATGTGCTGGGTTATAGAATTTTGGGCATGCAGAATGGAGAGAAGAAGGAAATACAGAATGGTATGGAAATATCCCAAGAGAAAGACAGAAAGGTATGTTTAAGTTCAAGAATGAGCTTAATTTTAGATGTTAAAAAAACTGTATTTGAGAGTAGCTGCTGCTATAAAATCTAAATGACAGTTGAGCTGAGCAAAAATGAAAAAAATTCCAGACCAAAAGATAACTTGGTTATCATTTAAGAGAATACTTGTAGGATGTGCAGACAAAAACAATGGAGAATAGATCTTGGGGAGTGTAAACCAGGTGGGCTTCCCAATTAAAGTTTTCTACCACCCAAATCTGTACCTAGGTCTTAGAAGAAAAGATCCTATAAAATAAGATGATCTCACTAAAAAAACTTTGGCCTGCTGTTCTAAATTTACAACTTAGACAAAAACATTCAAAGTCATTTCTGTTTACAACATACATATCAGAGGTTTTCTACAGACTTAAATAGTTCAGAAGGATTCCTTCATACTCTCACTCCTATAGGCACAAACTTAACAGGAAAGAGAACATTGCATTTCGTTTTTTGCCTTTCCCCTGAATCATACAGAGGCATACTTGGACGCCATTAGCAATGAGCCAAATGTGCTTAAGTATCATTTTAATTATAAAGACTGTATGGATATCAGTGACACTTTCAGCACACGTGAGAAAGAAAGCATTAAATGGATCTTGTTTGGCTGGCATCACGCTGGCATTTAAGCATAAGCAGATGGAGACATGCATTACCGAATTCTTATTAAAGGAACATGAACAAAAGCCAATTAAAGATATAATAATTAGTTTGTCATGTAAAATACAGTAATGGCATAATTCCTGGATCTTTATATTAAAACTTTCTACACCATCAGAAATTTCCAAAATGCAGTCCTGTGTTTTTAATGGCTGCCATCAAATTGCTCCTGATATTCACCATGTACCTATAATAAGTCTTTGGAAGTAATTTCACCTAACACTCCAAACAAACCCATTACATTAATGGACTACAGGCACTTTTTGAAGTAGTTTGGTTTACTAAACATAGCCAGATGGTAAAGGTTTATAAGTTTAAACGGCCATAAAGCATTAGATTGATGATTTAATACCTCATAGAGTGGTCAGCGGATACACACCAGGGATCAATATTAGGTAAAGAATACACAGGTCTAATCAACTCCTGTTCAATTCTTAGCAGTATAAGCTTGAGATAGTAACATGTCTCAGTGATTGGGGAGAACAAAGTAATGAGGTACACACAGATTGTTTGTACAAAGAAAACTGTTTGCCTATGGCTAAAACAAAATCCAATGAGTAAAGAGGGGGTAAAAATCTGTTCTATTTATCAAAAGATATAGGTAAAATTCAGTTTTTACAGTGGTTATTTCTGATACAAATAGGTATTTCCTTTGTTTAAACAGTAACTTAAATTCCTAGTTCAGCAAATAAAAACTTTAAAAAGCTATAATTAGCAAATATTTAAAAAGTACTATTAATACTTGGGAGGCTACAAGCTGGTATATTTTTATTAGGGGATAGTTTGGCACCATGTATTAAAAGCCTTAAAAATGTTCAAACTCTTTAATATGTAGTGATTCCATGTCTGTATTTTTTCCCTAGGATTCCCACAGGATTAATGTATAAACATTCATCGTCACATGGTTTATAATAGGAAAAAATTTTGAAACGACCTAAATGTTCAATAAAGGAGTTAAAGAATATGTGCTTCAACCACTGTAAAGAATACTATGCAATTGAAAAGTATGTTAAAAGAACACACATTTAGAAAAATACATTAAGAGAATATATTAAGAAAAAATGGTCACAAAATATTTACGATCAAAGCTTTAAGGAAAATACACATACCTACACAAAACAGAAAGGCTACCTGCCAAAATAGTAGTAATTCAGCAAATTAGTAGTTCTTTCTGAATGGTGGGATTCTAGAAATTTAAAAAAATATTTTCTAAATTTCCTATAACTTCTGTGATTGGAAAACAACAACGAACACCCCTAACCTTACAAGATATGATATTTAAGATAAGATTCATTCATGTTGGTATAATTTTTCTCTCTTAAAATAAACTTTGAATACACAAGAATCTTGTATTTTCCTGAGATAGTATTCCCCTCAAATAATGACAACTTGGCAGTGCCCTAGTATTCCCTTTAAGCATTTAGAAAAACCACAGTATCCTCCAAAAAAATTATTTTACATATCGTTTTATATTTATTTAACATAACAAGGCTTATAAGATATCCTTCTTTTGAAAAACTTCAACTAAAAATGTTTCTTACTCATCTGTAGAATTTAAATATTCTGTTGATATATTTCTCATAGAAATACAAATCCAAGTACACAAGTGAACATATCTTGAAACTAAGACATATTATTATAAAAGACACATCTTACACCAGGTAACACCTCAGAAAAGATTTTACTTGGACCTATGTATGGGTACAAGTAAGTTGATAGAAGGGCATGTACAAGAAGATAAGATAAAAAGAGTCTTGGCTGGGCACGGTGGCTTACCTGTAATTCCAGAACTTTGGGAGGCTGAGGTGGGTGGATCATTTAAGGGCATAAGTTCAAGATCAGACTGGCCAATATCATGAAACCTTGCCACTACTAAAAATATAAAAATTAGCTGGGCACGGTGGTGGGTGCCTGTAGATCTAGCTATTCAGGAGGCTGAGGTAGAAGAATCGCTTGAACCTGGAAGGCAGAGATCACGCCACTGCACTCCAGCCTGGGCATGACAGAGTAGGACTCTGTCTCAAATAAAAAAAAAGTCTTTATTTCTAGAGTTTGTTTTTTTAAAAAGCTTAATACCAAAAAGACACAGTTAAGGGACTTAATTTGTTAAAATCAAGCCAATAGATTTTTAAAGAGAGATATAAAGCTGGAGATCTAGTTCTGTTATCATAGCAAATTAATGGTTTACAAACACCTGTAGACATACCTGGCAGAGCGGTTATGAAATCTCTCTGCAACATAGGTTTAAGATATGAGTTTATGTGCCCATGTTGGTAATGACACATTTGGGATATAAGATGTTCCACAAATTCCACTTGATCTGACTCTGACCACTGCTCAAAGTATTTGACACACAGTTCCTTTTCCTTTTCATAGCTTGCCGAGAGTTTCCGTTGCTTGGGCACAATCATACTGGAAGTGCCATTGGCAAGTTTTGTCTGTAGAAGGGGGTTAAAAGAAATATAAAATAATTAGTATTGAAAATGAGGGAAATATATCTGATTTTCTGGTATGGCATGCTATGTTATGTCTACATGATTGAACCCACTCTGTTATACTACTAGCAATTATGTGGAAAATCACAGAAATAACATACAAAGTTGACAAATCAGCTATAACACCAGAAGACTAAGCATCCATTTCCAAAAGTTTGCAGAAGACATTCCTATTGTTTGAAGATACACAGATAAAACCCAAAAGCTGAAAGCATGTTATTACTAGCAAGCCAAAAATCTAATTTGTTTTTTATTGTATACAATGGTTGTTGAACATTTATATAATTACTTGCTCACAACTCTTTTTTTGAGACAAGGTCTCACTCTGTCACCCAGCTGGAGTAAAGTGGTGAGATCATAGCTCAATGTTGCCTCCAGTTCCTGGGCTCAAGTGATCCTCCCACCTCAGCCTCCAGAGTAGCTGGGACTATATGGGTGCACACTACAATGACCAGCTAATTTTTAACATTTGTTTTTGTAGAGGTGGAGTCTTCCTTTGTTGCCCAGGCTGGTCTCAAACTGGCTTCAAGCAATTTTCCTGCTTTGGCCTTTCAAAGTGCTGGGATTGCAGATGTGAGCCACTGTGCCCAGTCAGCACCACATTTTTTTTTTTTTGAGACAGAGTCTCATTCTATCGCCCAGGTTGGAGTGCAGTAGCGAGATCTTGGCTCACTGCAACCTCCACCTCCCAGGAGAATCAAGCGATTCTCCTGCCTTAGCCTCCTGAGTGGCTGGGACTACATGCATGCGCCACCACACCCGGCTACTTTTTTGTGTTTTTAGTAGACATAGGGTTTCACCACGTTACCCAGACTGGTCTTGAACTCCTATCTCAAAGGATCCACCCGCTTTGGACTCCCAAAGTGCTAGGATTTACAGACGTGAGCCACTGCACCTGGCCAACAACTTGGCTTTTAATAGTCAAATAAGAAATCCTTCATGGAAAGAGAAACCAATGAATATTCTGAGATTCTGTGGTACCTTTCCAGACATAAAGCTTAAATAACACTCATATGCTCGATTTACCCTTTTCCATGAAATACCCTATATTTCCATTGAGGTCTTTTTTATTAATTTATTTATTCAGTAAGTATTTACTGAGCCTCTACAATGTGCCAAATACTGTCCTTGGTACTAGAAATATGACAATGAACCAAAATGACAGTTTCTAACATCACTAACATATACTCTTAGTGTGAAAGGCACACTAAAAACACAAGCAGCCCTGTGCAGTGGCTCACACCTGAAATCCCAACATTTTGGGAGGAGAACATGCTTGTAATCCCAGATACTCAGGAGGCTGAGGCAGGAGAATAGCTTGAACCCCAGATGCAGAGGTTGCAGTGAGCTGAGATTGCACCACTTCACTCCAGCCTGGTCGACAGGCTCTGTCCCCAAAAACAAACAAACAAACCAATCAACCAACCACAAGTAAATTCTTAGAATAACGTAGGTAATGTTATGAAGAAATAAAGCAGGATAAGAGGACAGGAAAAAGTATGTTATTGTGGTAGGCAAAATTCTAAGATGGTTCCCAAGGTTCTTGGTCCCTGGTATACACATATCTTCCCTGAATTATTAAAATAGTAATGTACGTATTGCTGTTATTAAAAGAGGGATCTGAATTAGCTGACCTTAAGATAAGGAGATTACTTAGCTGGGGCTGACCTAATCACGTAGGCTTTAAAAGCAGAGAGTTTGCTTCAATGGATTGCAGAAGAGGAAGGGGGCCAGCTGGCAAGGAATGTGGTTGGTCTCTAGCTGCTGAGAGGAGCCCCCAGCTGCCAGCCGGTAAGAAAATAGGGATCTTAGTCCTACAATGGCCAAGAACTGAATTCTGCCAACAAGAATGAGCTGAAGGCTGGGCGAGGTTGCTCACATCTATCATCCCAGCACTTTGGGAGGTCGAGGTGGGTAGATGACCTGAGGTCAGGGGTTCAAGATCAGCCTGGCCAATATAGCGAATTCCCCATTTCTACTAAAAATACAAAAAATTAGCCAGGTGTGGTAAGCAGGCACCTGTAATCTCAGCTACTCAGAAGGCTGAGGGAGAAGACTCCCTTGAACCCAGGAGGTAGAGGATGCAGTCAGCTGAGATCGTGCCATTGCACCATTGCACTCCAGCCTGGGCAACAAGAGTGAAACTCCATCTCAAAAAAAAAAAAAAAAAAAAAAAAGAGTGGGCTGAGAAGAGGATTTTCTCTCAGAGCTTCCAGGTGAGAACTCAGTCCAGCCCAACACCTTGATTGATTTAAGTCTTGAGAGACTCTCAGCAGAGAACCCAGTCACAATGTGCCACGCTTCTGACCCTCAGAACTATACACAGAACTAATAAATAGGTGTTGTTTTAACCTGCTAAGTTTGTGGTGACTTACTGTGCCGCAATTAATAAAAAACTAATATGATTATTTAACTAAGCTGTCAGAGATAGTTTCCTGAAAGAGGTGGCATTCTAACTCAGACATGGAAATGAGGGAACTAGACACGGGGGAAGAATGGTCTAGGCAATGGGAATCTGGAGACCATATGTCCCGGGTGGCAATCTGTCTGGCATGTTCAAAGAACAAGAGGGCCTGGTGTGGCTTGAATAGAGTGAGCAAGGAAAAGTAAGGCTGGAGAAGTGGCTGGGGCCAAATTATCCTGGTCATTCCAGTGGTGGGGGTGGTGGTGGTGGCAAATCTCCAGAGATTGTCCCCAGCAATTCCAGCCCTTCTTGTACATGAATGCTACTCCTCCTATCAAAAGGTGGAGATTATGTCTTATTCTGTGAATGTGGGCTTTGACTAAGAGAATGGGGAGAAAGTTGCATTCTATTCTGGGACTTCTAAGCCCAGGCAGCTTCTGTTGACTCCTTAGATTATTGAGCTACCATGTAAGAAACTCAGGCTAACCTGAGAGACAGGTAGGAGGATGAGAAACCATATAGAAGGGCACATGAGCAAACACCCAGAAGCATAATAGTGACACAATCTGACACAGTTTAAAAGGACCACTGCTATGTGGTTCTTTCAAATTATATGGGACATAAATAGGAGAAGGCCAATTAAGACAATGCTTCAACAGTCCATGGAAGAGAGAACAATCTCTTAGATCACAGTGGCAGCTACAGAGGTGGTGAGAAATAACTGGCATTCAGTGGATATTCTGAAGACAGATCCTACTGAATTTGCTGATAGATTGGATACGAGTATGAGAAAATAGGAGGAGACAAAATCATACTCAAGTCTGAAGCTGGGGGACACTAGGAAAGATTCAGAAATCAGTGTTTTCTGGATAAAAACTAGAAATGCCAATAACAGAGAACAATCAGCAACGTAATGAAATTGTTCCGCTTATACATTAAATGAGATATTGCTATAATCATGAGGAGTCATGCTTCGATCAGTGGATATCAGACTGTTGGACTTTTGCTACTCTGAAGAAAGTGGGATTTTCTTTAAAGGATAATCACAAATGGTTACAACTGGGTACTTTTCAAAGTAATTTGATGAATGTTTGGCATATTTACTCAAGACAATCCAAATGTGGCAAGAAGATCCACGTTACCATAGAGTTCATCTCTGCTTAGATATACTCAATGTGAAACACGCTGTAAAACTGTACCAAATTTAGATAATTCATTTCAAGGCTCAGGCCTGCCTTACTGTCTTTTATTTATTTACTTTCATTTTTAGAAACAGGGTCTTGCTCTGTCACTCAGGCTAGAGTGGTGTGATTGTAGCTCACTGCAGCCCTGAACTCTTGAGGTTTGCCTTATTTTCTAGATGTTAAATCCTATACACAGGCATCTTTACAAAGTAAAGATACACAGCTGAAAGTGTATTTTCAAGAATGGCATTAGGCCATTTTATTTAGACAGAAGGAGCTGACACCTGTAAACAGCAAGTCCTGGTGTGCTGAGATGGATGTTTTCCAGCATAAATACCATTGTTGCCTATGAAACAGACTAAAAATGATTAATAAGAACCTTGTTGGACTCAGGCCTTGGGGGACTTGAGGGCTGCTTTTTGTGAAGGTTATTTGTTTGTGTCTCAGAAATGAAAACTCGTGTAATGTGAAGATTTAGAGAACTAACAAACAGGTGAGTTTATAAGCTTGACGAAATGCCACGTCTCATCCCAACAATGAAAACCTCCCACTCTAACATTTTTTATATATTTGTCTTTTAAAAGGCACCCTTTGTCTTTTAAAAGGTGGAAATGGACCTGAGTTGGGTGCTACTGGAGTGCTGTTTTCTGGATAAAGACCAGAAATGCCAGTAACAAAGAAAAATCAGCAACTTAATGAAATTGTTCCACCTATATGTTAAATAAATGAGATATTGTTTTAATCATGAGGAGTCATGCTTTGATCAGTTGCTATCAGACTGTTAGATAAAACTGCCTAAGGTTTTAAAAAGTTTGGGTATCCTACTGCAGAAGCTAAAAAGAAGGCAAAATTAATACTTTCAATGATCAAATCGTAAGTGGGAATCAAACATTTGGTTATTAGACATAAAGTATAAACTGAGATTTCACATATTTATCAACTGTTCTGGGCTATTCTAGCTGGCATACATTTTAGTTACCAATTCTCAAAACAAAAGTATTTTTTTGATGCGGCAGAAAGACACATACCTGAGATCCATTATGAAATGGATTACTCTCAACCTCTGCTGTTTTAAAAGCTTTGGCCCGGGAGTAAAAGGACCTGGTTTCAAATTCTAGCTCCTCAAATTAGCAGCTGTGTGACATGGAGTAAATAACTTGATCTTCCTGAGTCTAATTCTCTCATCTATAAAATGGGGATAATAGGTTTTGTTTCACTGGATTTTTATAAGGAACAAATAAAAAAACCCCTAATGAAAAGCATGCTTTCACTTGTTTTGAGCCTTCCAAGAGGAATAAATGAATTACATTAAAAAAAAAAAAAAGCATGCTTAGCACACCACCTAGCATGCAGTC